AAAAGTTTCAACGGAATCGAAACGAAATTTGTACGTTCCTCGAGGAGGTTACAAAAAACAAGATAAGACAGATTATCATCGCTAAAACATTTCGTCATGTCTTTCTCAAATTATATGAAAATTTAACCGTCGTTCCAACGTCGTTTTTTTTTTTAAAAGAAACATGACCCGTCATGCGATCGTGCGCGGGACTTTTGCAATTACGTTTTTATCCCGTTTATCTTCGAAGCGATTTTCAGAAGATTTATTTTTCAACGAGTACGACGAGTATATATTATGCGAATTAAAAAAACGTACGTCAAGTACGGCAATCGATGAGATAAACATTTACTTGACGATTTTTTTGCATACTGCAATCTTCGGATAGACAATCGTTAGATCGTCAGATGTTTGTAACGATCGCGCTGCGTCCTCGATGCTCGGGACTAATAGGAAAGGACTTTGCCATTGCTGTTAAAGGGCAAACATAATTGCCGCAATAGACATTGGCTTTGCAAAGCCGCCAAGTTCGAACGAAACTATGTCTCGGACTTTCCTCTTTGCACTGAAAACGATCGACGGTACGCAGAAAAAGAAATTAATCATCAAATCAAAATTGTATATACTTTCACAAGCGAGAATCTCAGAAAAATTTTATTTTAATCACACTTTGATTGAATTTTGTATTGATGCATATATAAATATTCTCATATGTAAGCAAGAATATTATAATTTTCGTATAAAAAATTTTTAGCCTTGAGTTGAGCAAAAATAATACTTTTGCATCGATAATAAATTCAATCAAATCAAGACTTTAAAATTTTTAATTGAAGAAGATTTGAGAATATTTTGCTTATATGTAAAAATATATATTTTTGCTTATATATGTAAAAATATTTGCCTCGATTCGAGAGTAGCTTTTTTTCTGTGTATCGCGTGTTCGCAAAGATATCAGTCAGGTGTATCAACGGATTTGCAATGATACGTGCGCTAACAGGAAGATCGAACTCGAAAATAAAACTCGGAAGTCACGTTTCGTAATCGAGACGCTTTCCACGATGCGCACACCGCGATGTGCGATGTTATGACAACAGGCGTTTACAATCAAGCGACTGCAAAAGTCACTTAAAAACGCGATCAGTGCGTACCGTGCCGTATATTGTTTCGCGCAAAAAAAAAAAAAACATACGAACGATGCAAAAATCGGCATGATAATGTAATCACGGGCGAAACGGATTCTGACTATCGATTGTATAAACGTGTTTATGCATCTCATAACTATCGATCGCATTTTTTTTACTTTAATACTGCATAATTATTAGCCGCAGTTTTTAGTTTCTATGACGAACATGCAAATGTATGACGTAAAAGATACGATAATAATTAGCAACGTGTCCAGGTAAGTACTTAGGCCCTGTACACAATGGAGAAGATATTACGAACAGAAATAGATATTGAATTTTGGAAATAACAATTAGAAATAAAAACTAAACATAATGCACAATGGCATAAGCAATGACAAATAAGCATAAGATATAGCTAGTATAACTTTTATTTTCAAAATTTAGTATTTATTACTGTATTCTTCATATATCCTCTATTACGTCTAGGACTTAAGTCATAAGCTGGATGCACAATAAAAAACACAGGCAACAGAAATTGGGAATAACACAGGCAATTCAATCCATGGGAAACCGTGTATCAATGGAAAACCGTTTTCCACGGTTTCTCATAGGTTGAAATTTGTTGCCTGTATTACTCCCTGTTTCTATTGCCTGTGTTTTTCATTGTGCATCCAGCTTTACTTCTGCCACGTTACATGTACCTAAAGATAAGACATTATATTTCTTTTATAGATAAAACTATTTAGAATTATGAGAACTAAATAATAAAATTTTCTTAATTGCTCATTCAATTCTTCAAAAATTTTCAATGCTAATTAATCGCGGTGTTTTGTAAATATAAGTTGTTTAAAGTAAAAAACATTTTTGTGCGATCGAGAGTAAACATAATTTGAATTTGTGTTCAACAAATATGCTAAAATTAGATGAATAAAACTCGTTCACAAATTATCATGTTGTTCATGAATATTTGTTTTGGAACTATTAAAAAATTGCATACAATGGGTAGAAAAAATTACAGTAGTGCTCCATCTATAACTACTCGCGAAAAAAACCGTATCATTCTATTTATAGAATTTCAATATTTTTTTCAGATATTCCGGAGGAAAGTTCCCAAGTATGATCTCGTGAAAAGTTACAATATAAAAGTTATGTCCTTTTCTCAGAATTTCAAAATCTCCACAAAGGGAGGTCCTCAAAGTGCCGCATTGTGAAAAAAACATATACTATGATATCTTATTTTTAAAATTTCAATACGATTTTTGAAGTTTGCATGAAATATTAATAATTATTTATCGACTGAAAACATCGGGAAAAAGTCGGACACGTATTGCATGTATCTTCATGACTAAAGCTTAAATCATGAGATCACATGAACCACGTGATACGCGTAATGACTGTAATTGCGTAATTACGTAAGATATGGAAATGTGCGGTCTACGGAAACTAATCGGTAGGACATATCCTGTTCCTAAGTGCGCGTTATGTCTCAGGTGTAATTGCCATTTGCATAGAAAAACGTATTGCACGGAAAGAGTACAGGTGATCGTTAAACGTTCCCGATAATTCCATAATACATGCATTACATCTACCCCATAAGACAAATTAAAGAGAAAGGTTTTCAAATTAAAAAATTATTTTTAAGGTTGCGACACGGAAGGATATCCTTAAATATATTAGTATTGTCTCTGTCAGAATCAAAACTAAATTATTTAATTTTGGCTTTGGACCTACATTAATGTTCTTGAGTTTATATAAAATTCAGAAAATAAAAAGATTATTAAGCCCTAATGATCCTATCTGACCGCGAGAAATGTCGATATTGCCTGACATATCTGTAGAGATATAGCTGTGTTAAATTATTTTGCGTCCGAGATTCCAATTTCCAATATCATTACGATGTTTCCAGACAAAATTACGAAATATCGAGATCAGTTTTATTTTCGAACAGACAGTGTTTTTTTCGTCTCTGAATGAGTAAAAGAAACAAAAAAGATGTCGAAATGAAAAAATTTATAATATCTCATTTATAATGTCTACTCAATTAAACTAATTATCATTCAATTAAAATTGTTCAAATTTAAAACAGAAGAAAGATTTCTGATTTCAGTTTTGAATACAGTTTTTTATACTTTATTTATTTTTCTATATAAAATTATCTCTTTCACGTGAAATTCTGTCCACTATATAGTACTTTAATAATAAATTTGATAATAAATTAAGACGCCATCATAGTCATGCCTAATGTATTTACTAAACATTTTATGCAATCGTCATAAAAGCGAATATTTAAATGAGAAATCATTTTATGGTGTTTATAAAAACAAGCTGACATAATCGCAAGTGATGTATGTTCTATTGTTGTTATGATGTACAACGAAATGAATAATCATCGTAAACTCATGAAGCACCAAATGAATAATCATCGTAAACTCATGAAGCACCAGATCATTAATCAAAGAATCCTACATTGATCTCTTAAAGTATCCTACGTACATTCAAATATTAATAATTCGTATCGCGATCGAATGACACATGATGTAAATAGTTACATGCTTATCGTTCCATGCAATTTTTTTCCAAAGTCACAAGTTACGTCTGACTGAATGTAGCGATTAGAAAAAGATACCGATAAGAAGATTGGAAGTTATCGCTCGGTATCCTAACAAAGTGATATCGAGTGTAGTAATCAATTAATTGCTGTCTATATTTCGACCTCATATTTGCTCGGTGTAACGCGGATTAAGATCTGTTTTAAATCTGTTTACGTCTTCCAGACGTCTTGCGGCCGGATGTGCCGCCGGACGTCGTTATTGTTGTACGCCGGGTCTGTACGAAAGGTCAATTTGCCCGAAGAAATTGACAGAAATTGATCTGTGGAACGGCAGGTATTATCACCGAGAGAAAAACGACGTGACACCTGGATCGCTTCTGGTCAAGTCTGACGACAGGATACAAAATTGTACGTGATACATCGCTGATCAACGGTTCGGTTTTTGCCTCCGGGCGTGACCGACGATCACGCCCGGGAATCCCCGTGATAAAAGCCTCAATTTGCCAAGACCATTTTTCTCACTCACCCCCGACCAGGGTCTCCAGGTTCCCGTGGCTGGGGCTCATCAGGTTCTTCGGCACCGGCACGTTGGCGACGAGGCATTTGATCGCCAGTCGCCACCGGCTCGCCTCCCGAAGGTTGTCCTCGTACTTGTCGAAGCTGCGGAAACGCAGGGTGATGGTCGTGCGCTCGCGCCTCATCGTCCCCTTCATGCGCATCTTCTTCAGGATGTACGCGTATATGTACAGGTACGCCGACGTGTCGTGCTCGTCGTATTGCTGATAGAGCTCGGCCGACTCCACCAGCTTCATCTGCGACTTGGACGCGCCCGGTCGGCAGGCGCAGCTGCCCGCGTTTCGCCGCTTGGAACGCATGCATCTGCAGCCGATGATGTCGCCGAGGGAGATCGTCTCAGTCTTCGCCGTGCCGTTGTGCTCCTTCTGCAGGCTCAGGCCCTTCTCCGTCAGCTTCACCTTGTAGTACGTGTTCCGCTTCGACGTTACGTAAAAGATTTCCTCGAGGACAGTGCTCGAGGAGCCGTTGTCCTCCATGGTACGCGACTGATACTTGCGTTCCACCATTTGACAAGGCGAATAGGAAAAAAAAAAAAAAAAAGAGGAGGAAAAGAAAAGAACTGAGAAGTAACTCTGAAAATCGATCGGTCGATGGCCGTGGATGCCTAATGTTTTTATATCGGTCAAGCGTTACCGCGATCTCGGGACCGAGCCGCCGTGATTTTCTCGTCGCACACCCGTTGATTTCCTATCGCGGACACGGCGATCGATCAGGCGACGATCGCATGGGAATCCCGCGAAGTGGAAATATCGTGATACTCGGTTCGGCCGTAAACAAACGATCCCCCCCCGTGACCCGGGGTTTATCTGTACGCGAATGTTTGCGCCGAGTATGTAACAATCAACGCGCTTTCACACTTGGCCGATGTTCAGCGTAACGTAACACCGTCGCGATTCCTGACGTACATAGTCTCAGCACGTGCGTGCGAGGGAGCGAGCGAGCGAGCGAGCGAGTGGGCGCAAATACCTCCTGGTGACTGTCATCGGATCTCGACCTCGAGAGATCGGAAGAGGTACGATCAGTCGATTCCGAAGCCGAGACGGCACGGCTGCTTTCTTCCACCGCGAAGAAGCGGTGAATCTTCCCGCTGACGGTGACGAGTCCCTCGGGATGCAACCGGGAAGGTTGCAAATGTGATCGACGATCCCACGGGAGTCGAGGGATCATCCGCGTTCCCACCCGATGTTCGCGAACAAAGGTCCACTCGCCGGCGACGCTTATCAGTCGCTACCTCGGATCGTCGCGTTAACAACTTGTCGGCGGCACACTCCGAAGTGACGTCGCCGTCCCAACCGACCGTAATTCAAACGCACGGTGTGGACGCGAACGCGAGGCCAAGAGACGGTTCCATACCCGGTCAGGCCCGTATTTATCGGGGCTGCTAACCCTGTGGGAGACCCAGCAGCAGGAGCAGCAGTAACAACAGCAGCAGCAGCGTC